CGTTTTGCACCTTCAAAGTGTAAAATGTTACTACAGATTGGGTTGGCACAGCACCCAGCCTCACTCTAACTGGGAAGTAATAGAGCAAGTGGATAAGCTTTTTTATCTGGGCGCGTACATCTCATCCGGTGGACGCATCACGGATGAAGTGTGAACTCGCATACGAAAGGCTCGGTTGGCATTTGCAAACTTGAGATATCTGTGGCGCCGTCGCGACATTCGGCTGTCTGTGAAGGGTCGAGTATATGCTGCAGCAGTTCTGCCAGTTCCGCTCTACAGTGCAGAGACTTGGTCATTACAGGAACGGAATGAAAATAGATTGTCGGTGTTTGAACTCCGCTGTCTACGCAGCATGGCACGAATCAGGTAGGGTAACCAAACGAGCAGAGTTTTAGTTAACCGCGGTTTCCCACTGGATCAAGTGGTCGGCCTCGGTAGAGTACGTTGGTTGGGGCATGTGTTACGCATGTCACCAGGTAGGTTGCCACGGCCAAGAGCGGTCAAGGACCTTGCAGGAGGGCATGAAAACCCTGACCAGGGGGCTGGGTCACATAGGTCCCGTTAGGATCCGCGGATTGGAACCTCGGGATAATCGTAACCGGTGGTTAGAGATACTGAGCGTCGTAAACAGTGGCGTTCGTGCATCTCAATTTGTTTGCATTCTTAGTCCGCTAAACTCCCTCATTTTCTCTTCTACTCTACTTTCAAATTTACTGTATTTCTCCTGGTGTTCATCTATATAAGCAGCTCATGGTTAGTGGTTGTATAAACTGAAAATTTCAGATGCAGTGTAGATAGCAATGAAAGANCAGGCTTAGGATGTCTTGGGTTCTTACTGGTGACTACTCGCAGTCACAGTTCGGGACGACTGATTTCTACGCAACAGACTCAGCTTATCAAGCAGGCTGGTTTTGTGTCCTGTCCATAATGTTTGGCGGAACTGTAGGAAGTTCTAGCAACATCAACCAGTTACTGGATTTCCTCTTTTGTTTGGCCCTTGAGCTGGATGCTTGAAAGCCTGAACGAGTTCAACTGGATGATTATGATCTCTTATCGCACTAGAACCGCGATCAGCGTTTAATACTTGTTTCCCAGCCGATTTGTTAGATGAGACGGATGAGACGGTCAGGAATCTGCTGTAGGTTGTCCAGTGTGTTTTAGAGAATGACGATTTTATATGGAAACTCGAGGTTCGGGATTCAGTTATCCGGTCCTTGTCGCAATATCCGTTGATCAGCGAGGGTACAGTTCGTCATTTAGTCAGTGACGTAGTTCAACAGCACCGGATTCAGTGGACAGCCGTGTCGAATTCTCGAGTTCACAATTAACTCGAATGACTTCTCTTAACAGGAGTTGCCGTGAGCTTGGATGTCCGAGCAGTATATCTTTATAAGTCCTGTGAGCTGGCCATCTTTCGTTACGTTCCACATCAAATTTCTCTGGATGGGGTCCACGTTGAATTTACCAGAGACTTAAAAATGTTATCGTAACCCTTCCCCATTCTACATATACATGTGGCCTAATTGTCAGCGAAGACATTGTGCGATATCATACACGTTGCTTTACAATACTTTCATTGAATAATGTTTTGGCAACTCATTTGAAGAATGTCAGTTATGCGCCAGATGCTTAGTACTGCAATCTGCATATCTCTTTGTTGTGCATATATCGTTCTATGTGTGACGTGACTCCACTAGTCAGCACGAAAAGAAAAAGAAACAACAAAAAAAAACAAATTTGAAATCCGCGTACGTGGTAGAAGATAAGTATAGTTTCTCACTTTGCATTCATGATGTTATTGTGATTGCATCGTTCCGTATTTCGCCACCCGGTTTTATTTGTGACGGTTACAATCGTGTGCAGTGTTACAAACTTACCTGGTAAATATATACTCTAGGCAAGTAGACAAGGTTATAAGCTAACTTTGCAAGGATTTAACAACATCTATACATAATTCGTTCCATTATGTTTTCATTCTGTTGTCTCGTATATCGTGCTTTATCTGTATTCCCCATTTACTTACCTTTCATAGCCTCAGCACTATGATTCACATTGGTTTCTGTCCAGTAGGCCATCCTGTTGCGTGATCAGTTTTAGACGGATGTCTCAACGTGTTTCTGACGTTGAAAAGATGAGGAACTAAAGGCCACTTGACTAAAATGAGAAACTTCAGTAATGTGCCTTTGCATGATTTACGGTTGATGCCGTCTACCCCATGGTAACGAAGCCCCGCCGTTTATTCAGTTAGCCTGTGCGGTGTCTGAATTCGGCCTTCAATCTGTAATTCAGTAACCTGTCTGATCTAACTTACGTTTACTGAGGTGTTTATTTCTTTCATCTCCCCTTTATTACGTTCTCTGAGTCCGATCTGTTACAAAATAGCCATCCCCCCAATACGAAAACCATCAGTGCTATCCATTCTTTTGCCGCCATACTCCACTGTTCCATCTCCTACCCTGCTGCTCGCCATGCCCAAACCAAGGTCGATCGTGACGGAAGTGCAGATAATGTATCACTGGGCTCTGATCTTGAACAGATCTTTTCCCGGCGCAATGTCAACCACGTTTCGTTCAATACTTCTAAAACCCCTCTTAATTTCTCTAAAGCGTTACACATTCTCCCCCAATTATCGTTTTGTTCCACCCAACTACTCGACGAACTCTGTTTCACCTCTTGGATTGCCTATATCTTCTTTAAGCCGGTCCCCTTTTATAGCTCAACTTGCTTCTCGTGCTGCGCGCAAGGTTGTTTTTCCATCCAAGTTCATCTTNNNNTTTCCCTTGATCGTGTTCAATGAAAGGTAGTCCTGCTGATCGATGCTCCTCCTCTAACATCCAATTTACAGTTACTGGCCCATCGTCGAGGATTTGCTTCATTGTCTCTACTCTACCGTTACTACTTTGATTTTTGTTCTTCGGAGCTTGCCTTGGTAGTTCCTCTTCCTGTACGTTTTGCCCGCCCAACCCATACACAGGCTCCTAGTCATCCCTATCGGATTTCGGTTCTTAGATGTCGTACTTCTCTGCTCCAATCTTTTTCTTCCCGAACTGCCAAGTTAAGGAACACCCTCCCA